AGTTTTAAGCCACTGGGTCCGGGACACGAACTGCGGTCGACTACATGGAAGCCCAGCGACATAGCCATTACGCTAACTGCTGGTTCCCCTGCCTCTTTATATTTAAGAGTACTACTGAAAATAATTAACATGGAGTTATGGACCCTTATTTTATAAGGGACTTTCTTTAAATCATCTCATGAGCATCTAATTTTTTTCATTTTGAAATTGAAAGAAACTAAAGCTCTGAAAAGTTATTAGCTTGAAGCCAGTCTGCTAATTAGTGGTGGTATACAAACTAGAATCCAGGTCTTTGACTCCCAAGTAGTTTTTCTGTAACACACGATATCAGTAACTTTCAGGGAGAAGACATTTCCTAATTAAAACACTGATTCGCCATCATGATGCCTTTAGGCAAATATTACATGTCCAAATTATCTTGAAAGAAAAGAGTGTTGCCCCAAATATGAAGACTAAGATCACAAAGACCATTCAAGAGCTCTTCTTCTACAGTACTAAGGCAGGGAGCACTGACATGTGTGTCAATACAATGTAATTTATATTACCAGTAGGTAATTATCAGACAAATATCTTACCATAAAGAAATTCAAATTTGTTTCACTATCTTAAATTATACCAAATTGACATCTGAAGAGTAAAGTGTAGATACAGCACAGACTATTTTCAGTATGCACACTCTTTTGAGTTCTGTTTCTGTTGTTTATACAACTAATTTTTTGACAGTTGAGGTCTTGGGTAATTAGGTAATTTAAGGTAAGAATCATTCTGAATATTAAGACTATATAATAGCAGGCTAATTTTATGTTAAAAATACATTAACCATAGCAGTTTTGATATTTTTGGTGAGAGTAGTAGTTTTATCATTTTATACTTTAATTGTATAAAGTTTATAAGTAGTATCTTTTTTTTTCTTTTTTTCCAAAAACAACCCAACAACAAAAACTAAATGTGAACTTCTTAGAGGAGGACAATTGTAAAAGGAAACAAATTGACTAAGAACAGAATTTGTTCTCCTCCCAATCTTATATTGTAGGGACCTATAGTGCCCCAACAACCACACACACTAACCTTCCTTCAGAGCATTTCCTTTGTAGATCTGGACACTCAGGCAGGAAAGTACAGACAATCCATTGAAATTCATAATGCCATCCATTAGAGGAAAAAAATGCTTTCAGATATTCCACTAAAATAGCACTATATCCCCATTGTAAGTTCAGATGAACATGTAAACTACAATGTTCTATTTCAGATAAGCTACTTCTCAATATTTATCTCAACACTTGTTATTTAGTAGTATTTCTTACATAATTTTAACCTTATATTCCATTTCAAACTAATTTTATTACAGGCAGGAATTATTAGTAATTTATTTCTCCATTTTTCAAAAAGTAAATTAGTATTATACTTTGGAGTATTGAATATGTCATAAAATACCAATTTATAAAAGAAAATGGTACCATCTGTTACAAAACCAATGGTACAACATTTAATAATTAAATTTTCAATATGTATCCAGAATTTATCATAAGTGAAATTAGGTAGTTTAGAAAGAAAAGGGAAAATAACAGAGATAGTGCAAATACTAGAATAAGATCTTGGTTGGAAATAGTTAACTTGATCCAATTTAGAGTTCCAAAAATGGTGAGATATACTTTGATCAAATATGTGAAAGTAAATGCTTTTAAAATCAACTTTATTACAATTGGAAAATCTACTTAAGTTTTATACATTGGAAATGCCAATAACTACCTGAATAATCTACTGTTTCTGTAAAAAATGAACTTCTGGGGACACATTGACATACAAAAACATAGTGAATAAAATGCCAAATTACTTGCTTAATTGTAAAGTTTCTTTTCTTGGTTTGTTAGACCTGCAAAAGATATCATAGCAAAAATTTTATTTAACATAAATGTTTTAGGATTTTATTTTTCAGAGGCTACTTTATATAAATATATATTTGATAGAGGTTTTTTTCCTTAAGCACATGCTCTGGAAAGAGAGAGAAGCAGTGATAGGAAAAGTGAGAAATCACCCCTTGAGGGAGATCGCCACACAGCAATCCATTTTCCATTCTCTTCCCAGTATCTTGGGCACACACACACACCCGTCATGAGTTTTGAGCCACCAGGTCCAGGATTCAAACCACAGTTGGCCATGTGGGTCTAGCGACATAACCGCTACACCATCTGCAGACCCCAGAGGCCACTTTTAAAACAGCCAGGAAAATATGTGTAGATATCAAATATAGGGCTACTTTAGCAGAATATTTAGAGAAAATATATTACAGGGGGCCAGCAGCTGGTATAGTGGTTAAGGCACTGGACTCCCACATGATCAACCTAGTTTGAGTCCTGAACCTGGTAGCTTATTTTTTTTTTCTCTTTCTCTCTCTCTGTCTCTCTCTCTGTGTCTCTCCCTGGTGAGTGTGTGCCTTGTAGCAAATTTTGAAAAATAATAATGATAAATAAAATAAATAATTCTTAAAAACAAGAAATACATTACAAATGTAGTATTTAATTTTCTAATGTTCTATAAACTTACTCAAAGGGTTTTTTTGTTTGTTTTGTTTTGTTTTTGTCTACTTGCTATATGTTAAATTTATTCTTAATCTGTATCAATCCATTCTGTGCTCACCAGGTAGAGATAGACAAAGAAAGAGGGAGAGAGAGAAAGTCTCCCACCCACAGCACAGGGTCACATTGCTATCCATTCTCCTCATTTTTCCAACCTGTCTGGATTTGGGGTACACGTGCCCAGTGTGTTTTTCAGGCCACTAGGACTGGGATTTGAACTGCAGTCAGCTGTGTGGGATCAACTGCCCTAAACACTAGGCCATGAGACCAACCCAATATATTAATATAGTCTTCATGCTTTACTTAATAATTTTCAATCCTTTAGCATTGATAATTTGCCTACATTACACAAAAGGAATAGTCTGACATTTAAGTAATTATGTACTGAGATATAATTAAACAATTATAATCACAGGTTGTTTTCTGGAAAAATTAATAAAAATGGAATTTCAAAAAATTTAATAAGCTTCTAAAATCTTGGTCCCCAAATTTGAATGAGCAAAAATATTCTCCCTCCATCTAACATTAGACAGTCATAGAGTCAACACAGTTTAGGTCCTCTGACTCATCTAACATCAATTAGCATGACCTTTAATAAAAGACAGTTGTTTTCCTCTGTTAAAAGTATGTATGTCATGGGACCAGAAAATGGAGTAATGTTTATGTTACTGGACTCCCACATAGTTGACCATAGTTTGAGTCCTGGACCTGGTGGCTTAAAACTCATACCAGGTACATGTACATGCATGCCCAAACTCCAGAGAGAAAAATGGAGGAGAAGGGATTGTAGCATGGCCATCTCCCCTGGTAGGTTATTTCTTGCTTTCTGTCCCTCTGGCAAGCACATGCACCCTATAGGAAAAATGTCTCTTTAAAAAAAAAAAAGAGGTGTACATGTCACAATCTGCTTGTATAAAAATATGCAAAATAATTTAAAATTTATAAACATTTTCTTTTTTATTTTTTTGGAGAGGTTTTCGCTATAGGGCGCATGCGCTCGCCACAAAGAGAGATAGAAAGCGAGAAATCACCCCCCAAGGAGGGATGGTCACGCCACAATCCCTTCTCCTCCATTCTCCTCTTGGGATCTTGGGCACGCACGCACACGCGCCTGGTGTGAGTTTAAGCTGCCGGGTCCAGGACTTGAACCGCGGTTGACTACGTGGGAGTCCAGCGACATAGCGATTACAATAACTGCTGGTCCCCCAACATTTTCATTTTTAATTACATCAAAGATTTATTTTTCTCTTTCTTTCTTTCTTTCTTTTTTTTTTTTTTTTAAAGTTTTTGCTTTAATGCACATGTACTTGCCAGGAAGAGACAGAGGGAGTGAGAGAGAGAGAAAGTGAGAAAACTCCCCCCAGAGGGCTTGGCCACACCACAATTCCATCTTCTCCATTCCTCTTGGGATTTTGAGCATGCACTTATATGCATCCAATGTGATTCTCAAGTCCCCGGGTCCCAAACTGCCACGTTGGCTAGCACCTTCATCTCCACATCACCTGCTGTCCCACCTTTCCCATTTTTAACAGAGTTACATTTTTTAAAAGGTGAAATTTAGGAAATTTAAAATTATTAAAAGAAATTGATCACCAAACTCAACAATTCAATCAAAAGTATGTATTTGGAAATTAATTTATGTAATAATGCAGATAGTAAGTCTCCTTTTGATGTCTTCATTGAGCGTCAGTTATCTTTTTTCTATTATTATTTCATTTCTTGATTAAGAAAGACAGGTACCCTTGACAGCGTCTTCTATTGCCACGATCCTCTACCTGGCCCAGGTCTCAGGTGCTGGTAGGCATGCCCTGTGCTCAGGTTGGCCGGGTTCCGCCTCCCGAGTGTCTGCGGCATTGGGCAGTGGTGCCTGCTGCCTGATGACTGCAGCTGAGCCAGTACCTGTTTCATAATCTTAGTTTTTGCCAGTTAGATAAAATTATCATAATAAAAATTTCTTGTTTAAAAATGTTGCTACACTTTAGTCATCTTTAATGGTTTTTACATTTTCTTTAGGAAATTTTCCAAATACTATGTAAAATAGAAAAAAAAAGAATGGTAATTTTCCTTAAAAGCATTTATTCTACTGAAAGCAGCCACATAGGAAAGTAAATTGATTTATGTTTTATATAACTCTAAAGTTTGTTGAAAGTATTTTACAGTGTGTTGTTTTTATTTTGTTTATTTGTTTGTTTTACTTTAATAGCCTTTTATGTCACCTCGGTACCCCGGCGGTCCAAGGCCCCCATTGAGGATACCTAATCAGGTAAGATTTGTGTGTTACTTAAGTTTTTCATGAATCAGTAAGGTCTTGAAAATGTCACAGATATTTCCCTATCCCATTTAATAATACTTCTAGTCATAAATAATCTTCAAGGGTCGGCAAACTACTTCCCAGAGGCTGCGTATTTTTGTAAGTAAAGCTTTGTTGAAACACAGTCACATGGATATTATGTGTTGTCCAAGGCAGCTTTTATTCCATGGTGTCATTACAGACACCATGTCTGGCTTACAACCCTAAAATATTTACTGTCTAAATCTTTACAGAGAAAAGTTTGCCAGTCCTTGGAGCCTGCTTTATACTTTAAATCTGATTTTAAAAGTTCCCATCATTTTGGTAAATGCTGATTATCCTCTCATTTAATAGATGGCAATAAAATATCCTAGGACCATACCTTGGTTTACTTTCATGTCATTTTAGTTTCAATATCATGGCTCTAACGATCACATGCACTTCATCCAACTGTGAATGTCTCATCAGACAAATAATTAGCTGCTTTTAGAAGGGCTATATCTATTAATAAATAAATGTTCAATAAATTTTCCAACTTTTTTTCATCTATGAGGACTCTGAAATTTCATAACTTTCTGTTCTCAATTAGTTTTTGTTCCCAAATTAATGCATGTTTGTTTACTAATGAGAATGAAACACAATTTTTACAGAGAGTTTACGGCTTTGTTTTAGGATATAGGCAAAATGCATGTATATAACACAAGAAGAAATTGAATGCTTAACAGTATGAAATATTTTTGTCAATATAATTATCTTGTCACTTTTCTCTAATTCTGTTACTTGAGTACTTTTGATTATCCCAGATCTAAAGTCAACCCTTTTATCACATTACATTCTGTTTTCCATTCTTACTCTGTTTCCACTTTCTTCCCTGTGGAAAATGGCACAAGAAAGTTGTAGTTAAAAATTTACTTGATAGCAGCAGAATTCTGCTTCTCCTCTCCTAACGCCTGTTGAAATGACACTGTGTTTTGTTAAGTGTCCCACTTTGTCGGTGCTCTGCTTGTCATGCACAGCAGGGGGCGCCTGCTCACCTCCAGGGGAGAACTTGGAGCAGGAAGCAGAGCTGGGTCATCTGTGACTGCAATGCTCTGCAGTCCTCACATTAGCAGCTGGACCAGTTTTCTCCTAAGGACCAAATCTGCATTCAGTGTACAGGACCAGGGGACAGGGCATGAAGTAGGAAAGGAAAGTGCACAGGCACCAAGCATATGGAGTTCCAGCATATGGAGTTGTATTTTCTCTTTGGGCGACCCTGCATATGTTGACTGTGGGATCAACTCCACAGGGGCCTGAGTCTTTTCACTTTTCTTATACTGAAACTCACATCTTTTATTGGAATCATCATGGTTTTTCAGATATCCTAGCCATAGATTTTTATATATTACATAGGTATAGGAGATTCCCCAAAAATCTGAGTTAGAGAAATGTAAAGTTCTTGTAAAGAATGTTATTAAAAGTTTTTTATTCCATTCCATAATGGTGATGAAAATGTGATAGAATTATGGGAATTGCATTTATTTGAAGTTTATGAAATGCCTGACATACATAAGATACTGCTATCCTAGGTTCCTTACCTATAGCAACCAACAAAACCTAACACTCACTTTGAGGAAGGAAGAGGTCTGTGGTCAGGATGTGAATAATTGTTAATCTGAATTTTTCAAAATTTCTTGAAAACAAGTATGTAATTTTTCAGATTTTTAAAACAGTCAATTAAAAAGTTAAAGATAATTAAGAGTTTATATGTAGGCTATCTTTCCTCAAGAAGTTTAAAATCTTTAAGTGTATTTTTGAATAATTTTATTCTTCTTTGAATGGCACTTTTTTGTCAATACCGCATCACACATATACATTTAAATTTATTCATTCAAATGTATATCATCCAAGGTAATAATTTATACTATTTTTTAAGAATTCTGTTAATAATATAAATAATATTGTTTGGGACCAGCAGATGGCATAATGGTTACATTGTTGTGCTCCCACATAGTCGACCGCGGTTGCTAGACCCAGCAGCTTAGGACCCAACAGCTTAAAACTGACATTGGGCATGTGTGTGTATTCCCAATCTCCCAAGAGGAAAAATAGTGGAGAAGAGATTGCAGTATGGCCATCCCCCCTGGGGGGTGATTTCTCACTTTCTGTCTCTCTGATGAGCAAACGTGCCCTAAAGCAAAAATCTCTCTTAAAAAAATAATAATATTGTTTTAGGAAATAATTAACCTACTTAGGCACATACCATTTTCAAGCATAAACATGTTTCTTTAATTTTATTATGTAGTCATTAATGTAGAAATGACAAAACTGTTTAATTGGAATGATATATACAAAAAGACAAATGTGTATGAATGTTTTTTAATTTAATTTTCATTTAAATTAATCATAATCTATTGCAATTTTGTTTTATTAATAGGTCATATCAGAAAATAGAAAGTGAAATATTAATCTTTTCAGTAGTGTTGACTAGTCATTTTGAATATGTGAAAGACATCCCTTTAATAAAAAAGATCCTTCCCAATTTTTATTACTAATGATTAGACTGTAAGTTTTAATTTAAGTTCTGAAATGATTTTTATGGTTCTGGACTAAATCTCTAATGGCTTATACTATTTATATATTCATAGGAGTGGGTGTTGGGAATGTCGCGTATGTCACTGTACTTTAGGAAGGAGTAATAGTGTCTAAAAGGGTAAGAGGACAGTCAAATTACAAATATTTGCAATAAGGCAGAGAATAAATATATATGAGGAAACATATGAAGCCTAAGTCCACAAAACATGTTTGATTATTCAGTTTTACACTGGAATCAGTTCAACTCTCATAAGAGGTTATTGGGAATGAAGGATCCATTGGCTGGAGCTCTTTATGCTTCTCATGGATAAAATGTATAATCAGAAAAATTCAGAGTATTCATTAAATACTATGTTGAAGAAATCAAGGCAGCCAGAAATACAGGCTAATAACAAGAGTTATTAAACTATTGATTTATTGATCCTATAAAATTTCAAGAATTTATATTCTTAAGTCTTAACATTTCTGAAACACTGTCAACAGATACATGAATTGAGTAAGCACCCACAGGAGGGGTAGCCACACCACAACCCCTCCTCTACCACCTCTCCTCTTGGGATTTGGGCACTCACACATATGCTCTGGAGTGTTTTTCAAGCACTAGGCCAAGTACTCTAACCTCCCAGTTGACCATGTGGGATCCAGCCACCTTAACCACCATGCCACTGACTGACCCTAGTTCTGTATTTTTAAAGTTTTCATTAAGTAAAATATGGCATTTGTGATTAGAAAAATGTATTAATTAATTATATATAGAGAGAAATGAGAGTACAGATGTTTTACTCTTCTGGTAACCTGATATACAGGACCATCCATTGTTAATATTGAATGTGCATGGGTACTGCAAAAATCTCATGGAGAATAGACTTAAAGTATGGGTTTATTTTGGAACATAAAAAGTAAATTCATGCACAACTTTTTTATAATGTACATATTTCATGAACTTCTTGAGAACCACTCATATGGATCTTACATGGTAAGAGGGAAAACAATGGATGCTAAGGGTAAACATCCAGGCTTTTCACGTAAGAAAAATATCAGCATGCATTTAAGCAGGAAAAAGTTGTTGAGACATTTACTTGTATTTATGAAGATAAATTTACTATCATCCCATATAACCAAGGTAGTAATATTTCAAATAAACGTAATAAAATTAAATAAATTTAAATAAAATTAAACTTATTTACTCTTTGTCATATGTTCTGTTATCCAGGATAAATATTAGATAATATATCCTTTACCAATTATTTTATATCTTTCTAAAATTGTTTGCATGTAGAGTTTGAATATTTTTTAATGATATCAGTATGAAAGTATAAGAAAGACTTCAGCTGTATAAATAGAAATATGTTCCACATTGAGTATATAATAGTTTTGTATAGTTGAAATAGTAAGGGGGAAGACTCCTCTGAATCTTCACCTTTAAAAATTAAGCATGTTGGAACTGGCTGTGAGGCCTGTTCCATGGTTAAGGCAGCTGTGTCCCACATGGCTGACTGTGGTTCAATTCCCACCATCTTGAGAAATATGCCAGGAGCATGTGCGTGTGTGTGTGCCCCAAATTCCAAAAGAATGAAGAAGTGGAGAAGGGATTGCAGCATGACCATTCCTCACTGGGAGTGCTTCTCCCTATCCTTCTCTTTCTCCCTGGCAAACACACACAAACCTTCTGGCAATTTTTTATTATCTTAAGTTTTGTTTTGTTTTGTTTTTGCCATAGAGAAAGTGTGCTTACCAGAGAGAGACAGAGACAGAGTAAGAGGAAAAGTGAGAAATGTGTGGCCATTCCACACTCCCTTCTCCTCCATTCTCCTCTCAGGATTTTGGGCATGCACACATAGACACGTAGTATGTTTTTCAAACTGCTGGGTCCAGGACTTGTACTGTGCTATAAGCCATGTGAGATCCAGTACCTTAACCATCATGCCACTTGCTAGCCCCTCACAATTTTTTTTTAAACTTAAGTATGATTTACTCTTTGACTGTAACAGTGGTTATGATGAAATATAGCTTGTTTTACCAGTTCAAAATATCTTTTTCTATCATTGGGATCTCATTTTTGTCATTATTATAATTACACTATTAATATATTTAAGTTATTATTTGAACTCCAGTGAGAGAGAATTAAAAACATTATTTCTCGGGACCAGCAGTTAGCGTAATGGCTATGTCGCTGGACTCCCACGTAGTCGACCAAGGTTCGCATCCCGGACCCAGTGGCTTAAAACTCACGCCAGGCGCGTGTGTATGCATGCCCAAGATCCCGAGAGGAGAATGGAGAAGAAGGGATTGAGGCGTGGCCATCTCCCCTGGGGGGTGATTTCTCACTTTCTGTCTCTCTGTCTCTCTCTGTCTGGCGAGCGCACGCGCCCTATAGCAAAAAAATAAATAAATAAATA